CAGCAGGTTAATCGGGACAATGAGGCCTTAGCTTTAATCACGGGACGCGCGGATCATGTGGTGTAGCGGGCCAGCGGCATTTTTTGGACCTATACCTTACCCTATAGCATCACAAGCCTAATGCCTCCCTTCACTATTGGGTAACTCTTAATACAGTCTCTAGCCTTGACACTCCGGGCGATATATCGCGAGCCGGAATCTCGTCTGCTGTATTGTGAAAATACCCGAGTTTAGTTGAGTGTTATTACTTATATAGAATTTCGGGGTCAACGTAGGATTCCTCCACTAAACAAAGCGCCATAGAAGTTCTCTGGCCTTCAATTATTAAATAAAGGCGGTAACGCGGCGACTCAAAAATGTAAAACCTCCCTCTACCACTCACAGGCGTAAGAGAATCTTTGTTTTGAGGCAGCCCAGTTAACAAATGGGTTTATCCTTAATTAAAAGGAGCGACCGCCAAGAAAGCTAAAACTCCTTTACTCAAAGAGGTTAATCGTGAGCAACTCTGTTTTTTGAGGATTAAAACCCAAATGTGGCTTGAAGTCAAAGAAAATCGATTTTATTAAAGACAATCCACATCTAAGCCCGGGTTCGACCACTCGATCCATTCCTTTCCTATTTGAGGGCAAAAAGGAAAAACTCTAGCCTCGCGTCCAAACCATTGGTCCATAGCGACTCCAAAAATAAAACTCTTACCAAGGTAAGAGAATCTTTTTTTGAGGATTAACAAATGGGTTTTCCTTAATAAAGGTAGCGACTCCAAAAATAAAACTCTTACCAAGGTAAGAGAATCTTTTTTTGAGGATTAACAAATGGGTTTTCCTTAATAAAGGTAGCGACTCCAAAAATAAAACTCTTACCAAGGTAAGAGAATCTTTTTTTGAGGATTAACAAATGGGTTAAGTAAAGAAAATCGATTTATTAAAGAAAATCAATCAAGCCCGTTCGACTCGATTCATTCCTTTCCATTTGAGGGAAAAATCTAGCCTCCTCAAAATGGTCCACATCCATACTCATTTCTAGGGTTTTGAAAATGCCATTGAATGATATAGTTTCTCAAGGTACCGCATTTATCCCATCATCAATGCCAATCAAATTTAATTAAAATGTCATCACCTAATAATCAACTGAAGAGTTCGTAAGGTTGTCATTATTTATTTGATGTACATATCATGAACATTGATAGGTAACATCTTAATAAATATGCTATATGAACATATTTGGCAACGAAGCAAGTCAATAAGTCCAAGATACTTAAGGGGCAGGATATTTCTTCCTTTCCATCTTGAGCAGATTGGGCTTCTCCTCATGTCTAACTACCTACCATGCATTCAAGTTGAAGATATTCTATTTCCTTAACCCAGCAATACCCACTTCACTTTCAGGGCCTCCCATTTCCATTCACCTTCTTCCTTCTTTGCATTACAAACTTGCCAAGTGTATAGCATCAACAGTTCAATCATTGTATTCGTAAATTTTCTAATGGAAAAAATGATTGTCGATACACCATATCCATTTCCTTCTTTCCCGCCTCACATACCCCCAATTCTAATGCAGGGAAATTAGATAAATGCACAATCAAAGATTTTTATTGAGCCTAGTACATTGTGTCATTTAGCACTGCTCTTATGACTACTATAATTTTCACTGATATCCTAATAATATTGACCCTTTAATTAAAACAATGGTAGTGTAATCATATCTAATATCTATTCTAACAGTATTGTAATAATAGCTTTTCTAATTTATTAGCATTATCATTGCACCGAGTATTATAATATCTAGTAAATATAATATCTAATGTTATAATTAAATCCATCCCTTTTATTATTATATAAAATAGTTTGGATATTATCATGTATATTCTTTTTAATCATAATTGTGTCAAATATTTGAATCCCAATGTTATATGATATTTAAACGGCTTATAAGAACGCGACACGTATAACACATTTAATTAAAAATTAAATTGGCCGTATACGAATTATGGTATTAACTTATTGTGTATATGTATATTCAAAAACTTATTGTGTATATGTTGCATATGCAAATGATTACTTTATTAATAATATTAAAATAAATTCTATGGGTTAACGTGTTAGGTTGTATTGAGTTGACGCGCCCCACCACAATATATTTAATTCAATAAGTTGTAAAGAGTTTATAAGGAATTCACTGCACAATTTATTTTAACTCGTATTATAAATAAATCAATTCATTTATGATATGGACTCGCTGCAGTTTTATTTTAACATGTTAATTTTACGTTGTCCCATCCACTCAACGAGGACGCTTGAGTCCCTAAGGAATGAATGTGACCCCGTAAATAAATTTTATATCGGTTAAGCACAAGATGAAAGTAATGTACATAAGAAAGATCAAGCCTTAGACTATCAAGACGCGTACATAAGAAAGGTCAAGCCTTAGACTAACAAGACGCATGTTGGGCTACAAAAAAGTTATAGCTTATGAACAAATTCGCGGAGGCCAAGTCCAAAGTGGACAATATCTTCTTAGACCTTGGATGTTTCATATGTATTCAACGAATCATATTTATATATCATGAATCATGGTTTGGTATAAAGTTTAAAAGAGAATTTTCTTTTTTTATATATATTTTTTTCCTTTTTTTAATGATAGATTGTGGGCTTCAAATTCCCAATTCTCCAACCCCCCAAATTAAGGGGTTAAGGAGGATTAAAAGTTTTAGTTTTCTATATCATTTATATTTATTCTTTAGAAACCCCAAATTCTCCCTTCATATTTCTTTTATTTGTTTTCTTCCTTCATTCTTCTTCCTTCATAATTTAAGAACTAATTTAATTTTCATAAAAGAAAAATAATTATTCAGTTCTTTAAGTTTACCATAATTATCTAAATAGTTCCCCAACATTTTATGTAATATTTAAGTCATCCCTCACATTTACCTCTGTCTAATTAAACAGTCTCTCCGTCCAATTTTAGTTCTTTTTGCCGTTGAAACGAGGCCAAAAGATGAAAACACCCTTATAACACCTCCAAGTTGGATAGAAGCTTCCCAAAAATACATTAAATACATTAATCATTAATAATAATAATAAAAGAAAAAGAGCATAAATCTGCCTTTTCCCATTAGCTTTCTATTCCTTTATAACGTCTGTACAAAAGCTTCCTCATAGGATCAAAACCTGGTCCCTACTCCGATCTAAAAACTAAGTTCCTCTTTTGAAAGTCAACAACCTCAACGCAAATAGGAAACAAGAAAATGCACCTAATAAAATGATCCAGGAGAGCTTAAAACAAGAGGAAATAATGATCGAGCAGAGCTTGATCGAAAAAAATTGCATCCTCAACAAAGAAGTATAACAGCAACAACATCAAAATTCCAGCTTTGAAGTAAATTATGAATCTAACAGGCAAAAACTGAGTAATGGGTTCTTGAAAATGTCAAAAGAAAGTGGAAAAGCTAATGGTAGGTGAGTTATGAAAGATTTAGAAAAAAGAGAAACTAAAGAATTTTTCATTCAAGCAATACACAAACAGATGGCGTGCTTCAAGGCAAAATTTTTCATCAACAAAACTCCTTCCTTGAAAATCAAGAGAAACAAGAAAGGCTAAAATCAAATTTAAATCTAAAAATCCAAACTCCAAAAATAAAAATGGAGTCTTTTGAATCGAATATTAACATTAAATATAATCAAATCATCTACCTGAAACTGTAGCAAAATAGAACTGCAGTTAAATCAAAATCTAACGTGTTCTGCTCTTTGAAGTGGCAATCTGAAGAGCGACACCGTCAACTTTTTCCAATTGCTTGTCAAGAACTTATATTAAAGGCTTGTAGAGACAAAATCAAGCATCGCATTAACAAACAAAATTAAACTCAAGGAGTGGAGGTTCGACGCGGAGGTGGCACTTATATCTTGGGCATTTCGCTGCTGCTTCCTTAACTGAAGAGAAGGCGAAGGTTTAAGATGAGGGAAGGAGAGAAGATGAGGAAATGGAGTGTGAGGTAGAGGTTTGGGAGGTGGTATTAGTTGAAGAGACTCTGAGGTGGTGGAAGCTCTGATTAGAGGTTGATAGGTTGTGGTAGTGGCAGAGGAGCGGGGAAGATAGGTGGTGGTGGTGGTGGTGGAGGGCTTTAATAAGTGTTGATTTTTGAGCAAGGGCATAAATTGTCATTTAAAAAAACCTATCAACCTCTTCAGTTTTGCCTAATTTTAACGGTAAAAACAACTAAAACTGGACGGAGGGACCATTCAGTTAGACGGAGGCAAATGTCAGGGATGACTTAAATATTATATAAAATGTCGGGAACTACTTAGATAATTATGGCAAACCTGAACGACTAAATAATTATTCTCCCTTTCAGAAATTAATATTTTCTTTTAAATAAAAAGAAACAGCAAACAAATGATGCCAATTGTTTCATAGCAAAAGAAAATAGCATTATTTAAAGGATTCATAGCAAAAGAAAATAGCATTAATTGAATCCTTCCAGTAAATGCCTTTCAGATAATGAGATTCAAAAAGAAAATGGCACCAAAGCAATGCTACAACTGGAGAAAGCTACTAGATTGTTTAAATAATTATCTAGTTGCAATAGAACAATGTCACTTACCCAAACTTCATCCTTACAAATCCATAAGCAATTTTCTTCTCCCTGACCAAGAAGGAATTACAAGGTGAAAATCTCAAATTATTCTAAGAATTTAGGCTAGCCTGGCTTATGAAAAAGCCTATTTAAGTTGTGCAGTCCCAATGCTACGGCTCAAATATAAAATGTTCTCTACACAGATTTTTCTCAAACAAATGATTCATTGCTTTTAGTACAGAACTAAAGTTAGAAGGCAACAGTAACATAAGTTTCATAATTAAAAAATCCAATAGAACTAACTACTAAAGCCAGAAAAACCAGAGGCCTTCAAATTCTGGTTGTGCAAGATGCCAATCAAGTCATTCTCATCCTCATAACTAACACCAGATCATTGAATGCTTCAATCAGAATTTTTACCAGAGTGTTAGCAGATGATGTAAAAATTGAATTCAGGGCAATAGCAGGCCCTTCAAAAGCTGATTTTCAATACAATTTTTCAACAACTGTGTTTACAAAAACAAAGATAGTAAAACAACGATTCTGGATCTAGCACCATATTGATGCACATTAGATAACTAAACTCAAGTTTAGATTTCACTATCCTAGAAAATAGTCACAAATTTTGAGTAGAATAACTACAAAGTGGCTTTCAGCTCTTTTCTTCATTAAGATACAGAAGCAAAGCATACCAATTTGAGACGACTAATGATTAGTCTCGGAAGCTGGGGCATTATTGAAGCTATCAAAGCCTCCGCTTGTGGGTACTGCTGGATTTGGTTGATAATTAGGAGGTGGAACAATGGAAGGGGTACCACTAGAAGGAGCAGGCACTGCAGTACTTCCAGGAACAGACGTCGGGGGCATCATCATTGGAGGCCTTGGCATGCCATTTGCCTGTCCAGGTATGGAAGGAGCACCAGGTGGTGCCATTATTGGCTGCATGACTTGGCCAGGCATGTAACCTATCAACCAGACGAGAACATAAACATCAGAGTTTAACAATGGAACAGGATAGCTCACTATATGATACAATACATGAAGGTCAAATAGTGATCCCCAAGACAACAAGCAATATAAATAAAAGCGGATTCCTATATAATTAAAGTAGAAATGCAGTGTATAATTTTTATATTATTATAATGTGAAGATATATAATATTATATTATAAACATTGTATTATTATATATATTATTTTTTAAATATTTCATATATTTGATTTTTATTTTTTATTTTTTATTTTTTATTTCATTTTTCTAATTTAGAATTCGAATTCTATGTTCTCATTAAAATATCCTTCTATTGTCCCAGAGAAAAACAACTAACTTGTTGATTTTAATTTAGAAGAATTACTAACCAATTACATAACCATATCCATAACTATGACCATGTGTTTTAAAAAACAAAATAGAACAAAGAAAACTTATGATCAAAATTATGCTAAAAAGAAACAGGTACAGCAATAATCATAAAGAAGCGCAACATTCCACTTTTGAGAGAGAGGCAGGCAACCAAACAAGATTATTGCATAAAACAATATGGGAGGCTTCATCATTTCACAACACCTGGAGCACCAGGAACTGGTCTTGGCAAAACTGGAGGCCTAATCCCAGGTAATAATGCCGTATTCATAGGTAACTGTCCATTCCCGGCAATGGGCATTACTGGTGTTGGTAAAACAGGAAGCCGGGGCCTCTGTGCCAGTAGATGCTGATTGTATGCAGCTCCAACCTGCTGGAATGCTGCAGTTTGGCCAAGATGCTCCTTTATTCTTTGGTCAATTAAACTTTGGGTTTGTTGCTCCTCAAACTGCTGGTAATATGTTCTCACATTTGCCTATAGTTAATGCACAGAATCAACTTCCAAGTTTTAGAACAATAATAACTGTGCATTAAATAGCAATTATGATAATAATGAAATATAATGACAAATGAAAAGTACCTTATGTTTGTAACCTGCATTATGTTGCTTTCTAACAGACGGCTGAAACATAAAAAGGAGACTGTCAGCAAGCAAAAATATGTTCAATTTTACATCTACAAGTTGTGTGAACATGATGAATCTATAAAAATTGAAATTATACATACATAAATATTAAAAAGATATTTACGCCTCATATGGTGTAATGAACTCAGCAAAATCTTGTGGAATTTATTTGGAGTAATTAATGGTAAGACTAAAAATGTTCTTTTCACTCCCGTAATTTCAGTTATAGAATTCAACACCAACAAATATATATAAATGAAGTCTACAACTCAAATTCATTATGAAATAAAGGGTTAAAATAAATTAGAAGAAAAGGTGTTCAAAATTTCATGACTAGAAGAAAGCTACTACATCTGAAAATTCTTTACCGGCTAGTTGTAAATAGACCAAGAATATGGAATGAGCAATTATATCAAACTTACCTATACCGGATATTGGTTGTAATTTTCAAATATTGTACAACATACCGCAATATTATGAGATATAATAATAGTCAAAGGAAACCCTTTCATAGGAATCCATGCCCTTTGAATTTGAAATTCAACATTAACATTTGGATTGGAACAAAATTAGTTGGAAAAAATTTGGTGAAAGACAATTATGTTTGGAGTTTTACTAAGGAGATTTTTTAGAACATTGTGCAGCATCTAAAATTTTACTACTTAATATCGTTCATATAGCCAATTCCGAACTACTTCGGATTAAGGCTTAATTGCTAGTGATATATGGATCAATATTTAAAATTGCTCTCTTAAAATTTCAATACTAAATTTTTCAAATTTACCAAACACTAACTGACTTAGGGGATGAAGCTGAAAAGGAAATTGCTACAAGAAGAAAAATCAAATTTTACACTGATTAAACTATCAGCTAACAGGTACAAGAAAAATTCCTGAAACATCAATAAGCAGAAATGATACGGATTACTGCAAGCCTATCCAAATAGAAATTGTAAACAGGGAAAAGGAATTGAAACACAAAGAAATAAAGAGACTTACAGAATCGTGGGTCAAGTAAGTATCACAATAATCACAGTAGTACCTGCAAAAATCAAACCAGAAATATAACCCCAAACGATTAACAAAAACATCCTCCATTGTGAGATAAAGAACACGCTGAATATGAAACATGGATATGGGCAATACCGTGGCATGGCTGCTTTTCAAATCGAACAACAATGGTGAAAAAGGTGGGCAAAACCCTACCGGAGAGAGATCAGAGACAGAGAAAGAAGACTTATTGTGTTTTGGACACTATTTGTATTAATTAATTTATTAACCGTATATAAGCTTGTATGCAAGACTGCAACTCTTTCCCATCGAACAAATGGATCCCAGATTCGGATCGGACCGTCGGGTTCAACCGATTAAACTATAAATCAAAGTCTTCAGTTCGAAGTGTTACATAACTAGACAGAATCGAACCCGCAGGTCGACCAAGGGATTTTTGTGAGTACTGAACGCATACATTACACAAGTTTTAAGGATAAGAATTTACTGTTTTTTAAATTCCTTCAAAAAAAAAAAAAAACCTTGTTGTTCTGAATTATTTAAACAAATTAATTTCAAAAAAATATATTTTTATTTCAATAAAATTTTTCTCTCTGTTATTATATTGCTTCTCATTACATTGCTTGAAAATAACAATTATTTATTTAAGATATTATTATTTTCAAAGAATTGTTTGTTAACACTAGAAAATAAATACATTCTCCAAGATATAGCATAATGGTAAGTACATGTATAACTTTGACAATAGATTCATTGTATGGGGTTAGATGCAATCCTACTTCTTGAGCATCTTGCCATTTCTAATCTATAATCTATAATATATATAAAAATACGAATTGGGGGAACATTAGGTTCCCAATATACCCATATTAAGTTTATGGATTGACAAAAATATTATTGAGGACTTTAATTTTATTGGTTAAAAAATAAAATTTAATTTTGATTGGTTATGTTAATTTCCTATTTGAATCTAAATGCTATTAGAAAGTTTAATCTAATTCTAAATAGGAAATCATTATTATTATTATTATTATTTAGCTAAAAAATAAAGTTTAATTTTATGGGTTGAAAATTTTATTTGTTGAAAAATAAAGTTTAATTTTCATTGGTTATGTTAATTTTCAATTTTGAATCTAAATTCTATTAGAAAGTTTAATATAATTCTAAATAGGAAATTATTATTATTATTATTTTGCTAAAAAATAAAATAAAATATTATCATTTAAAAACTTCAATTGTTAAGAAACGTGAACAATTTCCTTTCTAATTTAGCTATGGACGATTATTTTTTTTTCTTTTTTTAGAAATATAATTATTAATAATAAAATCAAGTATTATAAAATTCAAATAAATCAGACATAGAATTTACTATCATAATTAATAGAAGGGAAAATTATAATCGTACCTCTGTATTTTATTTAAAAAAAAAATACTTTTCCTTTATTTTTTTTAAAAGTAGACGGTTATACCTTGCATTTTGAGTCCATCAAATTAAATTGCCCTTCCGTTAGAATTTTGTGATTTTAAATGCTAAATGCACGTGAAATGACATAATTGACGCTAATTCTATCCATTTATCATATTTGTCTTCTCTTCTCTTCCTCAAGCAAACGCTAATCCTTCCAAACAAAAATATAAAAATAATATATTGGGCTTTTGGTATAATAATCTATTATGACCTCATTTTAATTTGATTTTGAATTGAATTTGGAAGAAAAGATAGAAAATGATTGAATCATTTAGAATGGCTAGTTGATTAAAAAAATTTTCAATTTTAATTAACATATCAGTTTTTGTCTTATTCAATTTTGAACATTTTCAGAAATTTTCAGAAGATGAGTTTGCTAAATAGTACGACACTAGGAGTTGTTGTATTCTTGAAGCTGCGAACAAGCTGCAAATTCATTTTATGAGAGGGAGAGAGAGGGAGAGAGAGAGAGAAAGAGAGGGAGAGGAAGAGGGTATTTTGGTGATAATTTTTCTCTCTCTCTTTGGATTGTTAGATTTCCTTTGATTTATGCTCTAAAATTAAAAAAAATGGACAGAAGCACAATACAGTATAATGGACTCAACATGTAAGGGTATGGCAGTGTATTTTAAAACGATAAGGGTGAAGTAATTTTTTTTCTACAAATTATAGGGGTACGATTATAATTTTCCCTTAATAGAAAGTTCGTTGATCCTTTAACAATAAAAAAATTATCTACATTTGTGATATCCTGACTTTGGGACACATAAATGAATCGGATCATATATCGAAAAGGGAAAATTTAATCAACAGAGGCTCCTTTTTGTGAAATGGCTTGGGGAGTTTGAAGAACTCTAAGGTTAAGCGTGCTCATTTAACGGAAATCCTAAGATGAGTGACCGCCTACGAAGTTCCTAATTTTGCCTGTGTGACAAAACAATGTGGATCCTGCCAATCCAGTATGGGATGGATTCAGCTTGATCCAAAGCAGACAATTTCTCTAGTGATTGGAGTCGGGCGTGACAGTTGGTATCAAAGCTGGACCCCCTCCAGTAGATGTATGGTTCGAGGACCAAACAAACGGAAGCTAGTGCGCCTGTAATGTCCCGACTGCAGGATACAAGAATGAATCAGGGGGACGTTTTGGTGAAATGGCTTGGAGAGTTGAAAGAACTCCAGGGTTAAGCATGCTCTTTTAACGAAAATCCTAAGATGGGTGACCGCCTGTGAAGTTTTCCATTTCACCTGTGGGATAAAACCTTACGGATCCTACCAATCCAATATGGTATAGATTTAACTTGATCCAAAGCGGATAATTCCTCCCGTGATTGGAGTCGGGCGTAACAATTTTTTTTTTTTTTTGAATGATAAAAGTAAAATGAACAATATTAGAATTTTCCGCTTGAAGATGACCTTGACTGATAAATCTTCACAGTAGCAACTGATCCTTTAATTGATTTGGATGACAAAATAACTTCCCTAGATCTTTTATACTTGGATTGCTTTTTGAAAAACTCGTTGCATATGACGTACATGAATGAGTTCATGCCACTATGCATTAATAGCATCAATGGAAGAACATGCCGCATCACCAGGCTCCATTGATCGAAGATACACATCAGTGAAACAATATCTAAATTCTCTAACCAAATAAAATCAAATATCATACCTTTTAATGATAAACCTTCACAAAGAAGGAATAAACCCTAATGGAAGTAGGAACAAAAGAACTCCAAATATGGAGACAAAGCAATAATAACAAGAAAAAAAAACAAATCTATTAGAATTTATTAAAAGCAAATAAAAGATCAAGAATGAGAAGAAAAAAAAAAAAAAAAGAAAAGTTGGGGCTTACCGTTGATTAACAGCAACAGCCAAACAAAAATTAGGGTTAGATAGACACTATGAACATTTGTTGACAATGCATAGAACTAATATATATTTTTATTCATGTAGTATAATATTATTGGTTAATATTATTTATGTAGTAAAATTCTAATATAATTAGGAGTTTAATTCTATTCTAATTATAATATCAACTTATTATTTTTATTATATTAATATTATAAATTTAATTCTATTCTAATTAGAAATTTATCCTACCATACCACTATATATATGTTTAGTTTTAAGTATTTTTTACTATTGCTTTTAGTAGTATTACCTCCCTCGGACTCTCGTGGGCCAGATTGTATTTATTGGAAGCTTACCATCTCAGATCGTTTCTCGGTCAAATCTGGTTATGGCTGATTGGCTAGTAATCATGATAATTTGGAGAATCAGATATGGAAGTTGGCATGGAAGTGGCCAGGCCCACAAAGAATTAGGGTCTTTATATGGCTAATGTTACATCAGAAGTTGTTGACAAATGAAGACGCAGAAGAAGACACATGTCTGACTCCTCAAATTGCAGTATTTATATGGGATGCTCAGAAAGCTTGCTTCATGTGTGTAGGGATTATTGCTTCGTGAAGCATATCTGGTATGATCTTGGTGCTCTTGCTCAGGCTACCTTCTTTAATAATGGAGTTAATTTTGTGGACTGGCTGTTAGAAAATTTCTATAGCAGCCATTTGCATGAGTCGGGGGTCCAATGGCATATTATTTTCGCTATTAGGTGTTGGAAAATATGGGATAGAAGAAATAAATGGTTATTCAGGGAAGAACATGTTTCTATCCAATGCTTAAAGCAAGAGATTTTATTTTTTGCTTTGGAGGAAGAAAAATTGGAGTTGTTGTGGGTTCCCAAGATAGTAGGCATTTGTCTTGGATTCAATGGCTTCCTCCTTCATCTCCTTCTCTAAAGCTAAATACGGATGGGTCAGTAGTTAACCAACTAGATTGTGGTGAAGGACTTCTCCGAGACTGTAATGGCAGATGGGTTAAGGTCTCAAAATTTGGCACTTATCCAGTCCCAAATGCGGAGCTGTGGGTTGTTCTAGAAGGAATTTGTTTGGCAAAACAACTTGGAGTCAGCTCCCTCCATGTTGAGTGTGACAGTAAGATGGTAGTATAGCTTGTTAATGGTAAAATAGCTTCCTCTAGTGCTATCCATCAATTGGTCCTTGTTATTCAGAATCTCATCCACTAGTACGAGCATTGTAAGGTTCAACACATATATAGGGAAGCTACCATGTGTGCAGATTTCTTGTCCAAGGAGGCTAGTAAATTTGGCATGGGCAATCATTCTCACGGTGGCGGCGCGATGGCGAGGGTGGCATTGACCGGAAACCCGAAGAGAGAAAAAGAGAGAGGGATCGAGAGGCGGCGGTGGTGCGCGATGAAGGTTCGTCGAGCCTTCCTCAGTTGATCAGAGACCAGGAGAGGGAGAGGGAGAGAGAGAAGACTAGAGCGACGCTGGGTGAGGGAGGTGACGACGGTAGGGAAATGGTGGCGCAGGCGGGTCGGTGGTGATCGGAAAAACGAGAGGGAGGGAGTGAGGGAGAAAGGTGGGGTTGGCGTTGGAAATAGGGGGAGTTTCTAGAAGGTGTTTGGGTGGATTTTTGGGCTGATTTGGTATGATCCGGGTTTGGTTCAGTCCAAATCGTGATTTTTGTATGGTTTTTGATTTCCAATTGATTTTCATTTGGGTTTTCAATTAATTGTGGGGTCAATTCAACTATTTAAAATATATATTTACATGAAACTGGTTAAATAAATTTGTAGGGTATAAATTTATTAAAGATTTAAATGAAAAATTTTGAAAATAAAAATTCAGGTTATTTCACTTTTCTTGTCCATTTCTTAAAAATCTTTTAAAAAAAACAATGAATGCAAATTTATATTTCATAAATCTTGATAATATTATTATGAATAATTAA